TAGTACACCCAAAACATGATTAGCCTTCATTTTCTACTCACCCCCATGCTGAACAACACTCTGGAGTACTTTTTTGATATCTCAAATGCATCTGGAGATCTGGGAGGCTTCTTGCTGTCTGCTGACATTCAAATAATGGAGGTCCATGGCGCCCGAGTCAGAAAGGTCCATAAAAGTCCACAAAAAACGTGTCAATATTCCTCCATACTGCTCGTCCAATGTATTCCAAGTTTCCTGAGTGGGTAGCATCCAGAATTTACTCGAAACAAAGTCATTTAGAATGTTTTTAGAGCATAAACAGTAGTGTATAGTATTTCCTGAAAGCGCGCGCCGGCGAGTTCATGACGCTACGGAAACCTCGGCAGACCAAACCAGATGAAAGTGCGCATTCAGCTGGGCAAAGAACTCATGCTCTTCCTTAACACTGAAGTCCTCAGACATTTTTCTTTCGTTGTTTCTTTCTTTGCACAGGTAAACAGCACATTTCTTCTTCTACGCTTGCATTATCGGCAGAGCAGACGCTGAATGCGCACTTTCATCTGGTTTGGTCTGCCGGATTCCGTAGCGTCATGAACGCGCCGGCGCGCGCTTTCAGGAAATCCTATACACTACTGTTTATGCTCTAAAAACATTCTAAATGACTTCGTTTCGAGTAAATTCTGGATGCTACGCACTCAGGACACTTGGAATACATTGGACGAGCAGTATGGAGGAATATTGACACGTTTTTTGTGGACTTTTATGGACCTTTCTGCCTCGGGCGCCATAGACCTCCATTATTTGAATGTCAGCAGACCGCAAGAAGCCTCCCAGATCTCCAGATGTATTTGAGATATCAAAAAAGTACTCCAGAGTGTTGTTCAGCATGGGGGTGAGTAGAAAATGAAGGCTAATCATGTTTTGGGTGTACTATTCCTTTAATAGGTGCAGGGAGCATAAGAAGAGAACATAAAACATATTTTGTAATCTCAATAGATGAGAAGAGTTAAAAAGACACTCATTGCCCTGAAGACCCTTATCTAGCAGAGGAAAATTGCGATCTTATCTCTATGACTAAAGCTAAAGTGCAACGCTTTAATCTTACATCATTGTTAGACTAAACCTGTAAAAAAAAAAAAAAAAAAAAAAGGATTTTGCCAACAAATATATCATATAAAATGTATTTAGTATTATGTATTGAGTACAGGAGCCATGATAGGTGTTCTGTCAGATCAGCCTATCCCGTCAGACCAGCATACCCATAGTCAATACGCATGCGCAAGACTTCAGATTTGCGTTTATCCCTTGTTTTGTACGAAAATAGACTTTAAACTACCTCAATGGGCCCTTTATTCCCTTTATTCAAGGTCAGATCACCATACGCTTAAAAAAAACACCAAAAAGTAAGTAATTACATTGACATTGGCATTGACTCTGGGTATGCTGGTCTGACGGGGTATGTTGATCTGACAGAACACTGAGACCAGTTCTGTAGAGCGGAGGTCTTCAACGGGGGTCCGGGAAGCCTAGAAGGTCCACGGATGTACTGCATGGGGATCGCTAAAATTTGGGTTGGTTAGACTTTTAATTTTTATATTTCCTCCTGCAATTTTTTCCAATAATTGAAATGTCTTTAAATACACATTAATATGAATTCAACACACTGTAGTAAACAGATAAATAGAGGCAGAAGATGTCTTTCAGGCATCAATGCACATATTCAACGACACACAGGAGCTCTTTTAAGCTGGACACCGTTTCATTCACAACACCTGTCCCATCAATGATGAATCAGAATCAGTAATACTTTGAAAATCCATTTGTAATAGAGTGACTATAGGACCAGTTTGATACAGTGGAATCTGCTTATAGTGGTCACAGATATTGTAATCAACCGCTTATAGCGTTCAGAAGGCTTGGGACAGAATAATTTATATACAAATGCTGTTTAAATACTTTGTTTATAGTAATCAAGAAACCGCTTATAGTGTTTATTTTTGGCCATTTTATGAATCTAAACATGTGCAGAAATAATTAATAAGTGGATCGAAAGTAATGACAGCACTCCTCTGTCAGAACCCGTGACAGATGAGGACATCATTGCTGAGGTAGCGAAGAGAAGGATGAAGATGTGGAGACTGTTGTCTCTTCCAGAGCTGAGATGAGGAATGCAGTTTGCATTTTAAAGACTGGTCTCCTGCACGTTGGTTTCAAAAACCTTGACCTTTTACATTGTTCTGAAAAAGAAGTGAACTTGGTGTTGGACAAGACTCTGATCCAGGGAACCATGGATAAATATGTTAGGTGATTTCTTAATGCGGCGCAGCAGATCCACAACACAAAACAGACGTAGGCTAGCTTTAATTTTCTGAAGCCTATGCGGTTATCTTCTATGTTGCTCTATGAAACTGTTTGTTTCAAACTTCAGACTAGTTAACCCCTAGAACCCTACGGACCCACCGGTGGGTCCAGCTGCTACGTGACCTCGTAATTTTAACAAACCCCCAGTATTGATGTAAAAAACACATTTGGCAAAGTTTGGTGACATTTTTGGATAAATGTGCCAAAATGGCCCCTCCGCCTAAGAAATTTCTCACTAATACCATTCTAAAATAAATATGATTCATCTGATTGAGTCCAAATTTGCTATATTTTTACACAACATTTAGATTTAAAAGTCTGTACTACTTTTTTGTGCTATGCAATGTTTTGCAATGTTTATTTCAAAAATTTTTTTGGCGAGGTTCAGAAAATGCAAAATATTTTGTATTTTGTCCCTAATATTTCAGGCAGGGTCAAAGCTACAATGGTGCTGACACCAGAAAACCATTCTATGACATCTTACCTTTACAGAGGTACCAAAAGTTTCTTCTTAAATCTAATAGCTGTGAGGCTATAAGTGATTTACTTTTGTGTTTTTGTCAGGCAGAAATTTATTTATACCCCCTGAGGGTGTAAGAGGTTAAAAAAAAAAATGCACCGGCGGCACCAGGCAACCAGAGTTATGTCCGCGCACGGCGCAGTATACTGTATTTAAAGTTGCATGGTACTGTAATAAAATTCAGTAAATGCGGAAGCTATCTGTTTCATTTCATTTTTCTCATTGGAAAACCACACAAATGGCATTTAGATAATATTCAACATAAAAAAATATGTGAAATAACGGTAAATTCGGATAAAGTAATCAACCACTTATAGTGTTCAGATTGGCTCTGGACCAACGTGACCACTAGGGCTGGGTAAAAAAATCTAATTTAATTGATTTTGGATCGATTCCTTTACATTTTTGCAAAATCGATGTGTAGGGAATTAGATCTATTTTTTATAGTGACGCGCATGACGTTCAAGTTCAAATGAGCAGGTGTGTGCAAATGCAAACCCAAGTAACACATCGCTCAGCAAGCTGTCCCAACTGAAGCCTGGAACCATTTTGGATTTAAAACAGCTAAAGATAATGTGCTGCATATGTGACATTAAGGTGACTTCCCACTACACTGATAATGAGTGGTGCCTCGCATCTCATGCTACAGACCACCGAGATTACTTCAAGCCAGACAGCTGCAAATATACTCAATAGGTCCACTGAACACATTAATAAATGGGGTCTGACCAGCAAACACACTGTAGTTGTTACAGAAAACGCTGCAAATATGGTTTGTTCAGTGAAGATAATGCAGCTCATGCATGTCTGCTGTGTCCCCACTGTGTCAAGTCTGCTTGCTCATGTGAGGCTTCATGTTTTCACTTTTCACAAAGAACTTTGCGCTTTTGAGACAGATTTGTTCACCTCTCAAGTTTAAACTGTCTGATTTGCAAGTTTGCACTTTGTGTTTAATATGACAGGAAAAAAATATTTTGTATTTTGAAACACAGTTGAACCACTTTCATTATTCTATAAACAGATCGAATCGAAATGAATCGATTTAGAACTGTATGAATCATATATATATATATTTAATTTATTTTATTATTATTTTTTTCATTTTAATATTATTGTTTTGTTTTTTTATTAGTATTTTACTACCGAAGGTATTCTATGTGTGTTCTTTGTTCTTAAAAAAAAAATTATGTGGGAACTGTAGGTGAAAAGTTTGCGCTCTTATTTAAAGAAATGTTACAACTATGCTTTGTTCCTGTAATAAAAATAAATAAATAAATAAATAAGAAAAATAACTGTATGAATCAAAATCTAATCGATTCAGGAATTCGGCGCAAATACCCGGCCCTAGTGATCACTGTAAGCGGATTCCACTGTGTAACACAATTTCATACAATAAACATAATTATGGGGTCCATCTCGCTATCAGTTTGAGGGTCCTTGGCCTGGAAAACGTTAAAGACCCCTGCTGTAGGGGCACTGGCCCTGCTGGCCCCTCTCTAGAACCACCCATGTAAATTAGTCTTTTCAATGCTATTTTTCAACTATCCCCAAATATGAGGGAAATCCATCATTTTCACAGAGTAATTTGGCTTGTTTAGATTTGTTTGTTGCTGCTTTACCCCCAACTGGTCTAAAGCGTTTAATTCTTATCCCCATGCAGTCAATAAATGAAAACAAGCACATTAATAATTGAGTCATTGTATCCCATTTAAAAGTGGAGACATATGACTGGATAACATCTAATTAATTCAGGACCATGCAGTTAAAATATGCTTACTGACCGTTTCTATTATGTAACAGTGTTGGTGGAGCAGTCTAGTCTTGTAAGCGCTTTAATGTCTTTGTCGGACAGCAGACAATGATATTTACTGTTAAATTATAGCCGCCTCTCTTAGACCCCGGTCACAAACTGTTGTTTACTTCTTCTTCGATGTTGTTATGAAACACGCAAATTGCTCGCTTTTGACTTTTTAAGGCGCGAGGCTCTCAGTTTGTTTCACAAAACAAAACAAAAAGTGCAAAAAAATAATCATTTCCGTTTTAATTGTAAATATAAGAAAGAATTTGGATTATCTGTAAACAAGGAACGGAGACTCCATCTTTATGGGGTTTTTTTTCGCCCCCGAAGCAAAAATCTTACCATTAATTTTCGAAGCGGATCCAGGGTGAAACAAAACGGCGATAACGGTGCCGAAAAGCCTCATAAAATCCATTTCTACATGTTCACTCGATGTTTCAGCTGCTGTTCAGATACTGGGGGGAAAGTAAACTTCACCTCCAGTCCCAGAGATTCCCAAACTGGAAATATGGCAGTGGAGGAAAAAAGAGCAGTATGTTGACGTTCAGGAGGAGGAAAAATCGGTCGAGTCCTGAAGGCGTGCATATGGCGTCTGATTAAAGAAAAAAAAAAGAAAAGTCAGATGGAAAAGTTTAAAATTACACAAAACAAGTGAGTTTTATTTTTCATCTTAACTTTAACACTAACAGAACAGATACATTGGAAATATTCAATAAATAAAGCTTCCTAAATCATGCTTTACATAAAGCAAAGCAATATTGACCTGAATGGAGCTCTTTGTCTGTAGACTGTCATGTGCAGAGTGTTAAAGAGCTGCAAGTTTGTGCCTCTGCTCAAATACATACAGACAGACTGAAAGTCTCACTCAGACAAACAGCAAACTAACAGCACACTAAAGTCAGAATTCTGACTTTATCTCAGAATTCTTATTTTTATCTCAGAATTCTGACTTTAATCTCAGTATTCTAACCTAATCTCAGAATTCTGACTTTAATCTCAGAATTCTGACTTTTTTTCCTGAAATATCTGACTTTTTTCTCAGAATTCTGACTTTAATCTCAGAATTCTGACTTTTTTCCTCAGAATTCTGACTTTAATCTCAGAATTCTGAATTTTTCTCAGAATTCTGTCTTTAATCTCAAAATTCTGACTTTCTTCTTAGAATTCTGACTTTTTACCTCAAAATTCTGACTTTAATCTCAGAATTCTGACTTAAATCTTAGAATTTTGGATCTTAATGTAGATGGGCATCATGAAGGAAGAGATGTGGGAGCACTCAGCTTCACTGACAAAGATGTGAGTTGTTTGGGAGGGCCAGTGACACTTTGGTGGAAAATAATGAAATTAGGCAACTCTTTACGTGCCTGGGGGGTCCCCGGTGATGCTATTTCATGAATGGAAGAGCAGAAGGTCAACAATAGAGCTAGTCTCTAAAAGAGAAATGGCCACAGCTTGATGCTAACATATTTGTTAGCTATCAGAATTCAGTCAGAAATCTGAGATTAAAGTCAGAATTCTGAGATTAAAGTCAACATTTTGAGAATAATGTCAGAATTCTGAGAAAAAAGTCAGAATTCTGAGATTAAAGTCAGAATTCTATGAAAAAAGCCAGAATTCTGAGATCAAAAACAGAATTCTGAGATTAAAGTCAGAATTCTGAGATTAAAGTCAGAATTCTATGAAAAAAGCCAGAATTCTGAGATCAAAAACAGAATTCTGAGATTAAAGTCAGAATTCTGAGATTAAAGTCAGAATTCTATGAAAAAAAAGCCAGAATTCTGAGATCAAAAACAGAATTCTGAGATTAAAGTCAGAATTCTGAGAAAAAAGTCAGAATTCTGAAATTAAAGAATTGTCTCTCAATAAATCTGATTTTTATTTCAGTAAAACACTGGTGACTATTTCAGCCATCCAGGTCATAGTCATTCCAAAAAAGTTAAAAAACAATCCATGGGTATTGCAGGCTAACAAGGAACCCAAACGACTCCCCATTCGACTCCCCAATTTGCATGTTTTTTAAGCCAAAACCAGGCTTTGTTTTTGGTCCACTCTGTAAAGCCTTGAACTCAGCGCTAATTCTAATTTTTTGAATTGAAAAAGCTTTCTGGATGGGAGGCAAAACTTGCTTCAATGGATTGTCACCTTGGTCCTGTGCTTAACTCTGTCTTTTCTTCCTAGGAGACATAGGACGTGGCTGAGGCAGTAAGCTGTGTGGCAGAAGGTGTACTGGAGATTCTTTCCCGGTAAAAGGAAGTTTTCCTCTCCACTGTCAAGTTCCTCTCCACTGTCACTACATGCATGCTCAGTAAGAGGGATTGCTCCAAAGTCGATGAAACAATGCGAGCGATCGTCCCCCGTCAAACATGCTCATACAAGAGGAGTGACTTCTGCAGTCAGTGGTTCAGTGTAATCTGCTGGCCTCCTTAAATAGAAATCTTTTCAACTAGAGGCAAACTAATTTCTCTTAGTGCTGAATGACCAAAATACAACACCCTGTTCCTCAGCTTGTTCTTAAGGCATAATCAGGACTCAATGTTTACTTTGTTTTACTTCTGTGAACTAATATCAGAGGTATCAATTAACAAAGTACAAATACTTCCTTACCTTACTTTAAATTTTGGCTATCTATTCTTTACTGGAGTAACTGTTTTTTAGACATTTCACTTTTTTTTTTTGCAATTATCTCTACTTTGTACTTTGTACATTTTAAAACGAGATTCATTTTTCTTCTTTCATTTAAGATAATTTTTGTTATGGCCTGTTGGTATTTAAAAATATTATTTAAAATAGTAAATCAAAAACATTATTTGGTTGATCCAGACAGTTATTTGTGGTAGGACTCAGCAGTGCACCAACGTAATTATAAATATTATTTCAAGATTATATAAAGTTAAAATTGACACTGTTATCATCATTTATTAAAATAAGAAAATAAAGTATAAGGAAGTTATCATCCAGAATTGTAGAAAAATTTTCATTTAATAGGGTAGTGCAGCAACCAGTATGAAATTTAAATAATCTGCCCTTAACATTTTCTCCTCCAATACCTTTAGTTTTATACTATATTTAGCTTTAAAAATGGTACTTTCATAGTTTTACTAGAGTAAAAAGCTTAAGTTAATACTTTTTTAAATTATTAAGTAAGTTAATACTCTAACTTCTACAAAACTGTTTTAAATATCAGGATTTATACTTATACTTGAGTAATAAATATCAGTACCTTTGACACCTCTGACTAATATCTACAAATCCTGTGGGACCTGTCTGGACCCAGAAAATAACAAAAAAAAAAACAATATACCTCTGCTTTTGCAGAGTAAGCAACACTCTTAAATTATTATTACTCACCCAGCCTCTGGGACCTTCATTTTATATTTACATGTGATGTAAATATTGTTCTTATCAATAAAGAAAACTTTGGACCAAACGTTAATAATAGTCCAATCTATTTTCCCCTGAGTCTTGGTGATACCCTTCAGTTGCAGTTGCAGTCCATGTCCAGGATAATCAACAGCATATTTTTAAGCACATGTTTCTATCACTATGCTTACATACAATGTAGATAATGTAGGGAAGATAAAAAGTTGTTAGCTGAAAGCCACAATCAAATTTAACTGAAATATCTCATTTTGAGTTCTCTAATTTATTGGGGCGTGCTTGTAGGTTTGTTGTCTCTATAGGTTTGTTTGCAAATGCTGTGACATACATATTCAACCGGTCTGCCATATGTAAGAAGATAATCCCCTGAGAGTTTTATAGGAAAAGGAACTGACACAGGCAACACTGTGAAAACACAACCCCGTGGTAAAAAGAGGACAAGAACAGACAAAGAGAGTGATACATGCTGAGAGGCATAGGGCAGAAAAGAGGGATCAACCCTGAACAGGAAAAGAGACAGATGAGGAAGAGCAGAGTTTTTTTTTTCAGCACTAAACTTCCTGTCCATTCGATTCAGTTCCCAGGCATTTTGCCTTCATTTCCAAAGTGGGAGTTACTGTAGTTGCTCTGTAGATGTAACAAGCTCAAATTAAGATTCAAATGACATTTGAATGCATGCTTTACATCAACCTGGTTTGTTCTTTTCAGTAAATATGTGCTTCAGTCTTTGCACAAAATCACCTTCTTTGCAAAAAATTGTGGAACATCAGTTGATTCCTGCTTTCTCAAGTCACTAACCTTGGATTCCCTATACCGGTCTGTGTATTAGTTGATGAATATGTGCGTGTTTATGAAAGTGTTTTGTGTAAAGGACTTAAAATATTCAGCAGGACTATAAAACACTTAATAAAAGCTTATAACCAAAGAGTCACTAAGCCTTTTGGTTTCTAAGGCTTAGTGATATATTTAGTAATGGTGAGAGATAAAGATATTGGAGGATGTGAAATATATCCATATCTATTTGTGTTGCAGAATTCCTTTAGAATGTGGACTAAACCCAAATTACAATATATATTTTACAACATGACATTGAAAAAAAGTTAATAGTTTTGTTTTTTTTTATTTGTCAGAACAGACCCAGAATTCCAGCAAGACAGAGGGAAAACTTAAAGCGTTTATTTAAACCAGCAGGTCTGCAGAAGCAGCGATTAGGGCGTCTATCACAGGAACATCTACAGGAGAGAAACACAGGTTAGAGACAACAATAATCTGACAAAGGTTGTTTATGAACACGTGAGTCACTAACCTAGTTTGACAGAGCAGTCCGTGCCCGGAGAACGAGGATGATTCCAGCCGGTCGGCTGACAAGTTCTTCACCTTGTTTCAGATGCGGAAGCCTAGAAGGCTGCAGAACTGACAGGAGATCAGATCCGACCAGACGAAGGAAGGTAGGATGATTGACAGGGTAGATCCAGGTTCAGTCCACAGAAAAATCCAACAGGAGTCCAAAGACAGGCCAGGTGGACAGATCAGACAAGAGCAGGCAGGCTCAAAATTCCAAATACAGAAACAGGTCAGGATCAGGCAAACAGAACACTACAAGAAACGCTCGAAAACTCTCTACACCAAAGGCTAAAGAATAATCTGGCACTGATGGCTGGGACCAAGGAGTTTAAATAGAAGCGGGAGCAGGTGGATCAGATGAGCAGTGATGAGAAACAGGGCAGAGATAGACAGGTGAATGAAATGAGCAATCAAGCCAGCCATCACAGTAAAAATCATGACATCATTAGGTTTTGAAAGTCTTTAATTTAGATCTAGAAATCCAGATTTTTTTTTAAGACGTGCAGGTATGTTCTTAGGATTGGGCATTAAATATGAAGGGTAAAATCAAAGTGCTTGAGTTAAAATAAACATCATATATTAATGTTTTCTTTATTAATTTACCTTTTTTATTTTAGGGGAGTGATTTTCTTTATCATTTCCCTATTTTCATTTGTCCTTTCAAAGCAAGGTTACACCTTTTCTGGTCCCTACAGTCTTGCTTGACCTCCTGCAATTGTTTTGGGAATGCAGAATGAAGAAATTTACCAGAGTGCATTATTTGAAGGCTATTTTTATTGCATAAAAAATCAGTCAGAAGTCAGAAGAGTCTCGCAAATTAAAATATAACATTTTTGTATTTTGTTATACTTGTAATCTTCCTGAAATCTAACTGCCTCAAACAAAAAGCTTATATTTGTATATTCTTCTCTATCAACGTTTTGCCCATGCATTCATAAAACCTGCTCTGTAAATAAAACGTTTGCTCGAGTCTGGTAATGCAATGTGCGTGTTTTTGAGTTTGAGAAACGAATTTAAACCCATACAAAGTAGACCTTCGAGAGTATTGCTAATTTCTTCCAGCAGGGGGCGTCAGAATACTCCACGAAGGTCCTGCAGATTGTGTGGAGGAATTCTACG